AAAGCCCCCAGGAAGCAGCTGGCCACCAAGGCTGCCCGTAAGAGCGCTCCGGCCACCGGCGGCGTGAAGAAGCCTCACCGTTACAGGCCTGGTACCGTGGCTCTGAGAGAGATCCGTCGCTACCAGAAATCCACGGAGCTGCTGATCCGCAAGCTGCCCTTCCAGCGTCTGGTGAGAGAAATCGCTCAGGACTTCAAGACCGACCTGCGCTTCCAGAGCTCCGCTGTTATGGCTCTGCAGGAGTCCAGTGAGGCTTACCTGGTCGGCCTGTTCGAGGACACCAACCTGTGCGCCATCCACGCCAAGAGGGTCACCATCATGCCCAAAGACATCCAGCTGGCTCGTCGCATCCGCGGAGAGCGAGCTTAAACTGTCTGCTGATCCACAAACCACAACGGCTCTTTTAAGAGCCACCTCACTCTCTCTGAAGAGCTCATTCCTCAACATTGTTGATAATATAATAATTATGTATAACATACCTTTTTGAATGCTGGTTTCTACACATACTTCACACATACTCGCCATAACGATCCTGTGCGTGTGTATTTCTGTAGTTATCTAAAAAGCAAATTGATAAACACTAGATGGGGTTAAGAGTATCCATGTATGTCACTAAAGTAGATTTATAGGCCGACACACAGGCAAATTATCAGAGTATAGTGCATGAAATGATTATATTTAATACCGTTGCTGTTAAACCGGAGACATGGATCAAATGCTTCTACTTTCTAGTTTATTTCTCTACGTCAGCCTGCCTAGATATTATTTTTTTAAGGTTATAAAATAGTTTATTGCCGAGTTTTTTGAAACATTGAAACTTTTTTTTCATGTTTGAAATTTAGAGGGCAAAATAGTTCACAACATTAGTACAAACATGGATGGATGAAGTGCTTCCGAAGTGCTCATATTGTCATGTGTGTCAGTGGAGACTGACCTTTATCTCAAGTTCTCCGTTATTGCTGTGCTAAAGAGCTTTAGCTTTTATTAGACATATGGAGTGAAATATATATGTACACGGCACAAAAGGCACAATAGTTTCAATGGTAGTCATTGAAACTATTGATACATTAGTTAAATGTTGATAGTGCACAGTTCTAACTTGCAAATGACCAATTATTTCATGAGATACAGTAGTGACTTCTTCAGTCCTCTAACCCTTTAGAGTCTGTCCGAAGCTGAGATAATGTTAGCAAAGTTAGCTTTGCATTTGATATTTCGAGCAGACGTCAGTAAATGTTCTAACATGTTACTAGTTGCTTTCAGCACGATGACGAGGTCAAAGCGGACAGGTTCAGCATCCACGTCAGTGGATAAAGACTGACGTCAATCTGGAATATAGCTAATGGCTAATTAAGCTGTTTTGACCCCTTTTTATTGATTTTTATAATTTTGTTTAGTTTGATATTTCATATTTTGTAGGCTTCACACAGACAATAAATACAGTATAACTACACTATGTAAATGTTCCCATTCCATGTTTAATTATAACAAAGGTAAGATAAATAAAAATACATAAATACAACGAGAGTAAACAAAGACTAATCAAAATGATTACAACAGAAGTTTTTCTACGTACAAGTCGCATCATTATTACCCGTGAGTTCTTTAGCAACATTTTAAAGTATCTTATTGAAAACTTCTCTCTTTTTTTAAACTTTATTTAATTTATATCAAATCTACAGTTTCCACAAATACATACATGATTCATGAATATACACTTTATATATAATAAATATAATATACACTTTCACAAGCCTATAAGCAACAAGCCTCATAACAGACATGAAGCCCTATAATGTAGTAGTTCAGCAGGTGGCGCTAACGAACCAAATAATGTAATTAACCATCATGAAAATCCAAAAGAAGAAGAAAAGCGCCCTCCTCCCCCTCCTATTGTCTTCTATCACGTCCTCAGGCTGGGTTTAAATAGGAGTGAACCAGCAGTATTCTTCATCTTGTTAAAAATACTTTGACCAGTGAAAATGAGCGGAAGAGGCAAAGGAGGGAAAGGACTCGGTAAAGGAGGCGCTAAGCGTCACCGTAAAGTGCTCCGTGATAACATCCAGGGAATCACCAAGCCCGCTATCCGCCGTCTGGCTCGCCGTGGTGGAGTGAAGCGTATCTCCGGTCTGATCTACGAGGAGACCCGCGGTGTGTTGAAGGTCTTCCTGGAGAACGTGATCCGTGATGCCGTCACCTACACCGAGCACGCCAAGAGGAAGACGGTGACCGCCATGGATGTGGTGTATGCTCTGAAGAGACAGGGACGCACTCTGTACGGCTTCGGCGGTTAAACTCTAAATCACACGTTTACTATAAACAAAAGGCCCTTTTAAGGGCCACACACTTACTCATCAGAGAGCTGGCTTCCTGTTCAAATCGGAGGTTATTTGAAACAGTCTCTTTTACAGCATCATTAGTTCAAGAGAAGTGAATGCTGCTACATATATAGCATATATAGATCAGGTTAAAGTCTTTGCTGATATTATTTAAAAATAAAACTTGTAGATGGATGCGTTGACTAATTTCTGTATAAACCATCATCTGGAAAAATAAATCATGAGTTGTGGGTCTGTAATATTCTTGTTAATTTAACATACAATTGGGGAAAAGCTGTTATAAGGACCCACAGCGACAGCTGTTGCAGACAGTAACCTGGAAGGTTCCTTATACAGTTGTATACTTGATCTTAACTCTTGAAGTCTGTGAGGCATACTAAACATCCTGGTGAGGTCACGTGACCGTGAGTTCATTTGCATACCAATGACATCACTTCCAAAATGGCTGCCTGGCTGGTCATCACATTTGGCAGAACTAGCTCATTTCAAAAAGCTTGTTTTTGTTAAGGTAAGTTTCAACAGATTTAACAATTCTAATGCTTTGATAACACGTCCTACATTATATCTAAACTCTTCTAACCAGGTTTATCAAACTAATTTGTCTACAAAGTTATGAAAATATTGTGACAGATATGTCACATCATGCTTTTAAACTTATAATTGTCTCAGAAAAAACAGTCACATTTGTCACAATAAGAAAAATGGTAATGAGCTGCTCAATTGACTTAACTGATTCAAATTTATTTTGATTAAAATATGTTCTGTTGAATTCAAAAGACAGTTGAACAAGTCTATTCGTCAAATTATGGAAGACAAATGTACATATCAGTAAAAACACAAGATGAAGATCATCCAAAGAGAAGACATTTTTGTCTTAAATATATTCTGTAAACGGGACACACAAATGACACAGGGCAATTTCACTTCTGTTCATCTCGCCTGCTCGTCAGAATGAGGAAACATCACGCCGTTGTTGTCGTAAAGCCTGCCCAAAGCAAAAAGCACCACCCTGCCCCCTGCTGGCCACAGGGTGGAATGCACACTCCATACACTGAAAGCACGTCAGTCCTTTATAAAATTATTATATTTCTAGCATATACAATGCTCACTCTAAATCTTTGTCTATCTTTGTTACCAATCAAAAATAGGCCAAGTTTAGTTTTTAAATGAGGAAAATATCTATACGTGAACGCCCAATGTGACATATGTTGCATTTCAGATCTCTGGTACTAGGGGTTAGTATTTAAAAAATATTGTCAGAAATGTGGTCCATTTAGTCAGATTTATTTATTTTTTTTTAGAAAACTTTATTTAATTTATATCAGATCTACAGTTTCCACAAATGCATACATGGTTCACGAGTATACAGACATAAGAACACAAAGACGGATACAAGAAAAAGTGCCGTGTGCTTGGGTCAAAAGTCCAACAAATGCCACGGGAGGGACTGGCTCTTATCAATAGTTCTCCTCCTGAGTTCAGTGACGACATGTTTCACCACCATGTTGCCGTCCATTACAGTCTGTTTTATTACCATTATACATCTGGTTTTCCAGATTTTGAAACGTGTGATGCTGACAATGAGCTGGTAAAGTTCTCTTTGTTTAACGGACGTCTTCTCATCAAACAGAGCAAACATCACAGATTTATAGTTCACATTGAAGACTAGGCCGAGGCTTTGAAGTGAGGCCCAGACCTGTTGCGCTCTGTAGCAGTCTATGAACAGGTGATTTTGTGTTTCGTCCTCGTTACAGTGCATCATGGGACATTTTTTCGTAGTGACATAGCAGCTCCATGACACAGTGGCTCTTACAGCGAGTCTATTCATTGCCATGAGCCATCGGACATCTGTGATGCTCTCCGAGAGATTCTTATCCTTCAATGTTTTTATTACTTCCTCGCCATTTGTCAAATTTTTATATTTAACGAGTCCACCATGTTTAAAATCGTTGATCTTTTTATAGATAGATTTGCTTGATAGACTCTTCCAGTCGATACGTTGGTGTTGATAGTGGTTAGTAAAATCTCCGTATAATAACTTGTAGTCAGGGCCCTGTCTCAGTTTCCCCTTTCTCTTCCTCCACATGGAGTCGTCTCCTAACCAGAGGGCGTTTCTGGAGATGGCAGCAGAGACATTTTTAACAAACGCAATATGTAATCTGACGCCGAGCTCTAGGGCCCCTAACCCACCGTACACTTTACTTTTATACAATAGTTCTCGTTTGGTCACTTCCCTGGTTGTGGTAAGTTCACACACTGTTTATTTAACTGGATGATCATTTTGTTGGATGGAGCAAAAATATTGGATAAAAAAAGTAGTTTAGATAAGATGAAAGTCTTGACTATATTTACCCTGGATTTGTAATTAGTATTTTTGTTTCCCCATCTTTTCACCTCTTCTTTAATTTCACACAACTTGATTTGAGTTTTTAATTGATCTCATGTTTTATGTGCTGTTCACAGTTAATCTACCAGAGAAATGTGAATTGGTTATGGTTAATGGTCACGGTCACGGTTATGGTCACAACATTGTTATTGTTGTGACAATAAATGCGCCGTTGATCTTTTAACTCAAAACTAGCGAACGTGTTGTTTAAGTAATAAAATACATCTTATTTGTATTTATGTTTTCTACATTACAACTTAAAGCTCATAGTCATAAATGGGATCATGCCAGGAGCCCCTGAATGCACCATTTTCTGCTGTTTCCCATTCTAGTTTTCTTATTAATTGCTTATAAATTGTTCCGGTGTATTCTTGGTCAGTACAGACCTCTGGGTGTTTACTGCCTTTCCTAATGTGGGAGAAAAATGTATTTGTGTCTTGAAATATATTTGTGTAAAATCAATCATACCCATAATTTGAAATGTACCCATGTATATTCATACTGTGATATTGGCCTGTATTATTGTCATATATTATCACGTCACTGAAACAGGGAGTCTAGTATAGCGGCCTTGGAGCCCGGGTGAAGATGGGGGATGACGTAGATAAACAAGTAGGGCAAGATTTCTGACGCAGGAGAAGAACGGGAGCTGGTCGCTGTGACGGGCGGCCAGAGGCGGAATCAGAAGAAGATGAGTGGGGAAGGAGGCTGTGGTTAATCAAAAAACCCTCTGTTATGACTTGTCCGAGGTGCACAGTGTAAATTCTTTAGGTGAAAGTTCAGAGGAGGAGGAGGACATCTCCGAAGGGGGGAGAGACTTAGGGTAGGGAGGTATAAAGTAATGTAGGCTACATTGCTATTGTGAAGTTAGTTGACTCCAGACAGCTCGGTTTACTTGTATACTTTGTGATGCAAATAAATCTGTTACTGTAATAAGTTACTGAGCCAGCCGTCAGGTATTAAGTTTTAACACAAGTCATAAAGTCAAAGAAGATGATCATCAACAGGGGAAAAACATGACAACAGTAAACGGGTTAGTTATCTACTGCCAGCAAAAGTCCACTTCTGGGTAGGATAATGTGCATTTAAATTTGCAGACTCACAAGCTACAAAGGTTGAAACGGCATCATTTTGATGTATTGAATGTTACAACAATAATACTATTAATAACAATAATACTTAATAATAATTAGTATTTAAGTTATTAATTGTAATAATAATAATGATGATGATAATAATGATTTTATTCATCAAGAACAAAATCTCCATCAGTGCTCACTTTAATCTTCAGCAGAATACTGTTTGCTATCAGCGAAACATTGATACTGTAACATTTAAAGCCACTCATGCTTCCCAAAACAAGCAACGTGTATTTGTCAGTGTGTTTGATCATTAATAGTATAACTATTTCTATTAAAAGTTATCATCAGCAGAGGACATGTTCACAGTGAGCAGCTCTGATAGGAAGTCTGGCTGAACTGCACCATAAGCCTCGACCATCATCAGTGTGTTTGCTGCTCCCAGAATAACTTCAGTTTATTAAACACTGATCAACATCAGATGCTTGTTTTTACATCGAGACTCTGAACAAACATGTGGACCAGTTGTGAAACGACTTTTGATGGAGCTCTGATGCATTTTAATTCATTTTTAGAGAGAAATGAGTGGGAAAAGCCGCTGATCAGTGCTGTCCACGGCGGTGAGGAGGTGAGGTTTGGAGGCTCCTCAAACACAACACAGAGATCATCAGAGCTCTACATGACTTCAATATGAAGAGACACTAGTCCGCTATCGGCTCCCTTCACCGTCAGCCTTCAGTACTTCTTCCACATTTAGTTTTGAGTCTTTATCAGTGAAGAGAAAACACAAGTGACTCTGCTTTCAGACTGCACTGAGGAGTCCCGGGCTGGGTTGAGTCTCCACGGTTCTCATGGTGTGTTTAAGTGCAGCCCCGTGCTCTGAGCTCTTCAACAGTCAGTCAGACTCTCGTGTTCTCGTGACTACTAACACATCAACGATAGAAAATGGCAGAAGTAGCTCCAGCTCCAGCCCCCGCGGCGGCCAAAGCAGCGAAGAAGAAGGTGTCCAGGCCGAAGAAGGCTGGTCCCAGCGTCGGTGAGCTCATCGTTAAAGCTGTGGCCGCATCCAAGGAGCGGAGCGGTGTGTCTGCTGCCGCCGTGAAGAAGGCTCTGACCGCCGATGGATACGATGTGGAGAAGAACAACTCCCGCGTCAAGACCGCCATCAAGAGCCTGGTGACAAGGGGGACTCTGGTCCAGACCAAGGGGACCGGGGCCTCTGGCTCCTTCAAGATGAGTAAGACGGCTGTCGAGAAACCGGCAAAGAAAACCGCTCCTACAGTCAAGAAGCCCGCAGCTAAGAAACCCGCAGCGGCCAAAAAGACCAAGACAGCGGCGGTAAAGAAACCAGCAGCAGCCGCTAAGAAATCACCCAAGAAGGCAAAGAAACCCGCAGCGGCCAAGAAACCCGTCAAGAGCCCAAAGAAGGTAGCCAAGAGCCCCAAAAAGGCCACCAAGAGCCCCAAGAAGGTGGTCAAAAAGGCCCCCGCAGCCAAGAAAGCCCCCGCAAAGAAGGCTGCCAAGCC